CAATCAGAACTAATACAACTTCCAAGATACGTAAAACGCTCCACAACTTCCAGTACCTCTCCCTGGATTGTAAGGGGCGTGTTCAGTGACTGCACGTCCACAAGCATGACCTTACACTTGGTCAGACAGCCTTCTTTAGTAGCGAAATATTTGACGTTGGTCTATGCTACCTGAGGTTCGAGCAATGTAGATACTCCACCTGTGGAACTTATGTCCCACAAGTTTAGATGAACGTGCCGGCCTAGCTTTCCAGTCAAGCCCGCTAGTTATGTGGCAACTGATACATTGTATACAATCGCAGACCACTGGTCCACTAACCACAGTGGAGCGTGCGTGTGTCAGGACGGGGGTTGTGGAAGCTAACCAAGCAAACAACCACAGCGAAACCATAGCCTCGGACATGTCTTGTTATGGCGGGCTACCAACTGGTAATAATCGTTCAGCTGTAATACACTTTCGGCGTCTATCCGAACGAAGCAAGAGCGCTGAGATACTGCCGTGTTGCCCAAGCCTAAAAAGGAGCAGTCGATTTGCAGAGGTTGAGTTCGAATCACCGAACTTTTTGTCCCACACAGCCTAGTGGTTGGGGCGCCAGCTTACGATACGGAAGGTGTGTGGTTCGAACACAACCTCAACTGCCCCTGTCTGGGTTTGGGCAACCTGGCAGTAGCGCAGCCCTCGAGCCTGCATCCGTTGGCAAAGCAGCTAGGCACCGAAGGGTGCTACAGCTGAGCGATTTTTTCTCTTCTGGTCAGTAATCACTGAGCAATCTTGAGCTACCGAGTACTTGTGAGTAGGCAGTCCGTTTGGGAAGTTTAAAAGCTACTTCCATATGAATAACAATTATAGCGCAGAGACTGATAGATCCAAGTACTTCATATCGTTCCGTCAACACCGGTGCCCGTAGCCGAAAAAACAGGCTTTATGGCTGCTTTCAAACGGCCACGATTAGGATGCAAGATCACGTGCTTCTTCAAGTCCTTTTTTTTTAAACACCGAACTGAATTGGTGGGGAAAGCAACACAATTCTGCATAGCCATCACAAGTCACCAAGTTACTTTTACCACCGAGTTCACCATTGTTCGTCATCGAAATTCACATGCTCTCGGGTTTGTTGAGGCCGTTGCAATAAGCCAATACGTGTTCAAAAGCAGTTTGGATTAGTGACGCAATAAGTTGGACGATTCGAACCGTAATAACAGGAAAGCCTTTGTTTTCAAAATTGTTAAGAAAACATATTTCCGGTAATAAGAAATACAAACAAGCGATCATCAACCCTGGATGATTTTATCCCTAGAACGTCGTGGATTCGAAATACAGTCAGATGTTCCCGGATCACAAAAACTGGGACACTCGAAGCTCCCATTGGGGCTTGCCAGGTGGAGGTACACAGGACCGGTGAGGTACACTTATGCTGGCATTTCTAAACTGTTGGTCTGATGACCAGAGACCACGAGCCAGGGCTTAGCAACCGGTTGTTATAGCAAGTGAACTTTGAGATTAAGTCACCCGCTGCTGGGTCAGCCAAAAGCATACAGTTGCTAGCCGTGGGGTCTTGCGATGGACTCCATCTGATGGACAACTGAGAGAAGCCGACTTTTGACGAACTAATAAAAAATCGGGGCCCAAAGGATAGGACGGTAGGAAGCAATTCGTGATCGATAATCTCATCCGACCAATCAGAATATGAAAAGATTGGCTAGGTTAGACAAATACGAATGTTGTAAGGCGAAACCACAGTCGAATAATTAGTAGTAACGATAAGCAATTGGTTTCCTTGCAAAACAGCGATTGAAGCGGCTAACACACATGGAAGAGAGGCCGACGAAACCAGACGGACAGTCAAAATGACAACACACCAGGAATATGACCGCCTAAAAGCTTACGATGGAGGTTTTGCGTCACAATCGACAAAGATCTGACACAATTCATTCGCGGAGAAGTCCGGTGGACAATTCCAATAGTGTAGTGTGTTCGACGGTGGATAGATTCGATTCTTGCTAGCTTTCTCCGGATTAATGTACCGGTTTTCACGACATCCGGTGTAATCTTTGAACGATGGGGTGCCGTCCGGCAAGTCGAACGGTTTTGGCACATCGACAATCACGAGTTGTTTGCTCGGTCGAATCTGCGGATATCAGGAAAAAACAACTTGTTCGGAAGCGATCCATACAAATAGGAGATTACCGTTTTAACTAACCTAGATAAAAGTAAACAAACAAATGTGACCGCGTGCTCTACATAACCGTGTAAATAGTCAATCCACCACACTAGGACCATCGACTGCTATCCAAATCTATGAGACTGTTAGATTGAAACGTTCCTGGAGTGAGGAATTCGGTACTGTCGGATTAGGAACAGGAATGCGGATGCTGACATGACAAAGTTCTTTAGAGATGAGTTAAACTCTCCAGGGTACTATTGTTGCCGATCAGGATAGCGCAGTCAACGCGACTCGATTAGTATCATGACTGCCTTGATGTTTTAATTTCGGGTAAGTAATGTCTTCCGAGTGTCATCTTTTGGTCCTCGTCAAAGCGGGTTCCAGCAGACGTCATGGGGTGTACTGGATGCAGCAATAAGGGAGATTTTGAAATTGGTTTTCAAAAGACCAATAATTGTGTGCACATTCCTGATCGACAGGGTCTCGGAATGAAGACTTATCAGTATGGCATCGAGCATCGTGAGAATCAGTACGCTTGCCAGACAACTCACAGTGGCACACCTAAGTATGTGATTATGGTCAATGCATTGTAAGTGGAAACAAAAAAGACAGAGGCACTTAGAGGGAACCGAACCGGCGTTTTCTCGCTTACCGGACAGGTGCTCTACCAGCTGAGTTATGGTGCACATTGCAGATGCCGTTCAGGATCCGGGTGGTACCAGTGTGACAGTGATACTACTGGTGGGAAGGCATGCGAGTAGTAGGTGTTGTCCAGGTTTTGTAAATAAGATGCCAATGAGAGTTTTGCTTCTCTGTCCAATAGTCTGCAATCCGTCAATTGGCAGCGAAGGCCTTCTTCCTTTCACCAGTATCTCGCCCATATGGACGTTACACGAGGGGCTCAATAACGGCACTGACAAACATTTAGCGCATCGACGTGGGACGTGTGCTATGTGTGGGCGGCGTCCGCTGTGGCCTAGTTGCCATAGGTTGCAAGCTCGGGCTCCACCCAAGGGCTTGTTTGCATTGTGTGCTTGGGTCCACATGCAATACTTTTGAATTTCCATATCTCTTCAGTGGTTTTCTATTGCACATTCATAAAGCGCAAAAACACGCCTCACACCCAATATTACCCATACGTGTGCTAATGAAGGGGCAGTGTTCATTATCAGCACTGATGACGATGACGGTGAGAATCTTCCGACTTCGGTAGTACTCAGGACCAGCAAAGATAAGCTAGTCTTGAACGAGATCCGAAGACTGACGGAGCGTGGTGCAGTTACACTGCATACAATGGTGCAGGAGATCAGTTCCGTGATGAAATGACGATGTGGAGTGCATTCCACATCAGCTCCTGAAGAACCTATATCCGCGTCAAACAGGTTTCGATTGGCTAAGAGATGCACGCCAGCTTTGGACGACTCAGAAAAGCGCACGGAGGTGGTGTGTGGTGGACGTTCACACAAGTATTCGAGGATAAGATGTCCAGGTGGATGATTTGAGTTGCAAACATATCCTCAGATGGTTCAGCGGAGCTGACAGTCATCCACATACTCGTGTGTTTAGGTCACTTGCAACAACAAAGCTCTCTCATTTTTGGCTCCAACGGAGAACATGACGCGTTGCAAAAAGTCTGTCAGTGCCAGAGCTTGTTGCTAGGCCTCTAGCTGCCACCCGAAAGAAGCACGAGGGTTGGGATACTACTAGGTTGCCCAAGCCTAGACAGGGGAAATCGAGAAGCGGAGGTTGAGTGCGAACCACGAACACTCCGGTCAGCAAATTAGCGCTCTGATCCATCCAGAAACGTGACCACTGCGTGCGGAAGACCGAAGCCCCTCTCTGCTTGACCGTAGGGTCCTCTGAAGTATGAGGCGAGTCTGGTGAGAACACCAGATCAGCAATCCCGGGTAGGTCAGATTGCTATCGGGAAAGTTCATTCTCCATCGATAGATTAGATTACACTGGTTGGGCCAGGTGTTTCGTATGCCAGAAGACCGCTTGTCGGTCCTCTCTGCCCTTCCTTGTGTCGTATGGAGCGATCGGGTCACGACCGGGAAACGACTCTCGAAAGATCTTACAAGTCAACTTAGTTACTTTGGTAAATGGTGTCTTCGCGAATGGGGGCGAGACAAACCAATGCTTTGTAACCCTGACAGATACGGCTGCGTCACGCAGCCACCGTCAAAACTATCGCCTTCACTGCGTAGCTCCAACTCCGTTCCACAACGGACAAACGGAACCATTAGATGTCGATGAACTAATTGGGCCATCCCGTTCAATGCGTCGTTCTTATTCCCTTATTCTTCTTGTCCTCGACGAATGAAGCTGTAGAAGCTGGAACCACTGTACTTCGGTGCATGATTTGTGTTAGGAGGCATTCCTTCTACGAACGTATTGCTCACATTTCTCTCTTTATATTTCAGCCTTTCATTGGACTGTTTGTTCTATTCCATTCCTGATTCTTAGAATCTCGACATTGGCTGTTCAGTTGCTGCAGTATAATTTCCTCAAGGCTTTTTGTCTTCTCAATTTCGTGTGTAACTGACAAGGTTGATTGACTGATTAGTAGAGAACATAACACTGGCGACGGGAACCCTTCACGAACCCAAGAATGTCAATTTCAGCTGAGGATTTGAAACAACAACAAGCGCAATTTGAACAATCGCAATTGCGACTTATCCAGTCTCTCACTCAAGTTATCAATCTACAAACTTCAGTTTCATCTCAAAGTGGTAGTTCACTATCCTTTGCGGATTCCATTGCTGCAACTATAACTGAATTTCACTATGAGCCAGCATCTGGTCTCACCTTTGATTCGTGGTACAGCCGTTGGGAGGATACATTCTTGAATGAGTTCACCGGCAAAGATGATGCGTGGAAATCCCGTCTCTTCGTACGGAAACTTGGAACCCTCGAACACGACCGGTTCACCAACTTTATCCTTCCACAACACCCAAAAGATTTGACTTTTGCGCAGACGGTGGACCAACTTCGCGAAATTTTTGGTGACCAAAATTCACTTTTTAATGTCCGATACAATTGACTCAAGTTGGCCAAGCGTGAGGCCGACGATTACGTTACTTTTGCCGGTATCGTTAATCGCGAATGTGAGAAATTCCAACTGCAATCGCTTACAGAAGATCAGTTCAAATGCCTCATTTTTGTCGCTGGACTTCAATCTTCTCAGGAATCAGATATTCGCACGCGATTGCTATCCAAACTTGAGCACGAAAAAGACATTACTGTGAAAGACCTCACCACAGAATGCCAGCGCTTGCGCAATCTCAAACATGATACCGCAATGGTACAGCAAAAGTCGCGATCGCCTATTTCCAGCAGCGTCATGACATTGAAGCGAACCGCTGTCACTCCTGGAAAAAAGCCACCAACATCATGTTGGTCATGTGGTGAATGGCATTATGCACGTTTTTGTCCATTCAAGAAACATCAGTGCCAAGCATGCCATCGTTGGGGCCATAAAGAAGGCTTTTGCCGTACCCACAATGCCAAATCACCATTAAACCCAAAGAACGATAACAGTCCGATGAAAGACTCAATCAAAAGGCGGACGTACAAGCAACGAATACAATCCAATTCTCTGTTTGCTACGTTTCAAGTTGAATTTGAATCCCGCAGGAAATACATAACAGTTTCCATCAACAAATTCCCGATCCGTTTGCAGCTTGACACAGCTTCGGATATTACATTAATATCACGTTCAGTTTGGGAATCAATTGGGAAACCTGTTTTATCCTCCACGAACCATCGGGCCAAAAGCGCCTCTGGCAGCACTTTAAAACTAACAGGCAAGTTGTCTTGTGATGTGTTATTCAACAATGTGCACTTCTCAGGAACGTGCTATCTCACCGATTGTCCGAAATTAAACATACTCGGACTCGATTGGATCGAGAAACTTGACCTTTTCCGTGTACCTTTATCATCTGTGTGCAGTACTCTGAAATTTTCATCCTCCTCAGACATTGCAGAACACTTTACTAACACACTGAAGACAAAATTCAACGATGTCTTCCAAAGTGGCCTTGGATGCTGTACCAAAACCAAGGCAAGCCTCAAACTCCAACCTGCTTCCACACCAATTTTCAGACCGAAGCGTCCCGTGCCATTTGCTGCTCTCGCAACTGTGGAGAATGAACTTGTTCGTCTCCAGCAATCCGGAGTTATCCAGCCAGTAAACCATTCATCATGGGCAGCTCCCATTGTTGTCATCAAAAAAGCAAATGGCAAGGTGCGCATATGTGCTGATTATTCCACTGGATTAAACGCCGTGTTAGACTCTCACCAATATCCATTGCCGGTACCAGAAGATTTGTTCACCAAGCTCAATGGTGGAAGATGTTTCGCAAAACTGGATCTTGCTGATGCTTACCTTCAGATAGAAGTCTCTGATGACTCCAAAGAACTTCTGACAATTAACACACATCGCGGTTTGTTTCAATTTAACCGTTTGCCATTTGGGGTAAAATCTGCACCAGCAATATTTCAACAAACAATGGATGCCATGCTAAACGGTCTATCAGGAGTTGCTGCTTATTTGGATGACATCATTCTTACAGGTTCTAGTCAAGAAGAACTTCTGCATCGTTTACATTGCGTACTCGAACGGATTCAACAATATGGTTTTCGTCTACGTGCAGAGAAGTGCGCATTTTTTCTCACTTCTATCAAATATCTTGGATTTATTTTTGACGAACATGGTCGTCATCCAGACCCAGAAAATATTTCTGCCATACAACAAATGTCAGCACCGACGAATTTAGCAACCTTGCGCTCCTTTCTCGGTTTAGTAAGCCATTACAGTTCATTTTTGCCAGACATGCACCGTGTCCGTGAACCACTTAATCATCTTCTAAAAAAGGATGTGCCTTGGAACTGGTCACATCAGTGCCAGTCCGCTTTTGACAAAGTAAAGTCATTTCTCAGCTCTGATCTACTACTCACACATTACAATCCAGCCCTGGACATTACTGTTGTTTCAGACGCATCCAACTATGGTATTGGAGCTGTCATCTCTCACGTTTTCCCCGACGGAAACGAAAAAGCAATTGCCCACGCAGCTAGATCCCTAACAGTTACCGAGCGCAATTATGGTCAAATTGAAAAAGAAGCTTTAGCAATAATCTTCGCCATCAAGAAGTTCCACAAAATGCACTATGGACGTCAGTTCACGCTCATCACTGACCATAAGCCCCTTCTCGCCGTTTTCGGATCCAAGAAAGGCATTCCTGTTTACACAGCCAACCGTTTGCAACGTTGGGCTACAATGCTTTTGGGCTATGACTTCTCCATCAAGCACCAGTCTACTGATGCTATTGGCCAAGCTAATGCATTATCAAGACTCGTGGATTCTCAACGTCAACAACCCGAGGATGCTGTTGTTGCCTCGATAACGGTGGAACCAGAAGTTAACGCAGTGCTTGCTACTACAATTCGTGCACTCCCAGTTACTTCCCCCATGGTTCGCGACGCCACTCCTCGTGATCCGTTACTTCAAAATGTACTCCATTTTCACCACACAAATTGGCCTGCAGTACGTTCCGATAAACAACTTCAACCGTTCTACCAACGTCGATCCTCACTTTCCGAGGTTGACGGTTGTTTACTCTTCGCAGAACGAGTAATTGTGCCCCCGAAATTACGGAGTGATGTCCTCAAACAATTTCATTTTGGACATCCCGGTATTAACCGCATGAAGGCGCTAACACGTAGTTATGTCTACTGGCCGAGCATGGATAAGCAGTTAGAAGAACTTGTACGCAAGTGCTCCAAATGCCAACTATCTGCGAAATCCCCTCGAAAAACAGAATTATGTTCATGGCCTGTCCCAGAAACTCCATGGTCACGAATTCATGTTGATTTTGCGGGACCAATCAACGGCCAACAATATCTCATCCTAGTAGATGCTTATAGCAAATGGCCAGAAGTGTTCAGCATGAACCATATTACTGCTGAGGCTACCATTTCAAAACTACAACATGTGTTTAGCCACTTCGGAGTTCCAAATATCATTGTTTCCGACAACGGCAGTGCATTCACTTCCGCTAAATTTTCCGATTTCTGTCAAGAAAATGCCATACAACACGTGCGATCACCACCATTTCATCCACAATCAAATGGCCAAGTGGAAAGATTTGTGGACACTTTCAAACGCGCACTCCAAAAACTCAAAGGGGAGGGGACCACCCCGGAAATCATCGAGACATTTCTGCTGAGTTACAGGGCGACACCAAATGTTAACGCTCCACATGGTAAGTCCCCGGCGGAGGTACTTATGAACCGGAAGGTCCGCTTACCCGTTGACGTCATCCGTCCAACACCACATTCGCCAACCGGTAGAAACATAAACATGGAAGTTCTGTTCAACCGACATCACGGTGCTGCAAAGAACATATTTATACCTGGCCAGTCTGTGCTAACGAAAGACTATCGTGGTGGCGCGGAAAAGTGGACCCAAGGCATAATTGTGCGCCGGGCCGGAAGAGTTGTCTATGAGGTAAATGTAGGCTCCTCTATCTGGGTCCGTCATGCCAATCAGCTACACGCTTCCTATCTTCCAGCGGCACCTACACTCGACCCTGTTCTTCCACTGGAGATTCTTCTCGACACATTTGGGTTGGCTCAAAAGCCAAAATCTCCAGAGCCGATGAATGAACCAGAAATTTTCAAAAGTTGTACACCCAGAAGATGGACCGACCGGATCAGAAAGCCTGTCACGCGAACGCAACTGAAACAACAACTTCAGTCGTACGAACAATGACTTCAAAGAGGAGATGTTAGGAGGCACTCTTCCTACGAACATATTGCTCACATTTCTCTCTATATATTTCAGCCTTTCATTGGACTGTTTGTTCCATTCCACTCCTGATTCTTCGGATCTCGATATTGGCTGTTCAGTTGCCGCAGTATAATTTCCTCAAGGCTTTTTGTCTTCTCAATTTCGTGTGTCACTGACATGGTTGATTGACTGATTAGTAGAGAACACAACAGTTTGTGAGGAGCCATGCGAGGAATGATCATACACAGACAATGGAGCGCCCTCGTACTCTATTCATAAATGTACGATGGTCAAATTAGTAACAAGTAACTTATCAGCGATTGAGCAGTCAAATTAGAATTAGATTTTCGGACCATCTGCCTCGAAGAGGTCTTTAACTCTGTCAGAACGCACCCAAACATGGAAAAAGTACACGTGCAGAGAGTGACGCGTCCCCAAGGTCGCCATCGGTACGACACGTCCGGAAAGCAAGTGCGCTGGCAGAGCTCACCAAGCACGGCTTAGCAACATACGGCCGGCGGAGTGGGCCTGAAATTGTTTACGACCGGAACACCGCCATTGGTTGTACAGAACGAACGAGTGAATGACCATATTTGGCCATAGTCATCTTATATACTTATGCATAAGCTTTGTATATTTTGTCCTGACAATGCAGTCGTGTCCCGAGTTCTCTGTCTTTTCCCTATCGCGTAGTCTGGCAGGCTCACTGCAGGCGTAACCCAACAGACGGCCACCCACGATACAACAACCTCCCAGTCCGAGACCGCACAATTTCATGACGAACAGAAGCACAAGACTAGATTTGTTTGACGAATAAAAGGTTTCTCATGAAACACAGTGTTCGATTTCATTCCCAACACTACTACTAATAATAGTACCCATTCAAGGGTGACATTCACTCGTTGTCTAGTTGCCATGCCACTCAAAAGAAGCAGGAAGGCTGATATGTCAGGTTGTCAAGTCTAGACAGGACCAGTCGAGACGGCGCGGTTGGGTTCGAATGAAGAACTTTACGGTCAGTAAGATCGCATCTTAACCACTGATCAAAAAGGTCTCGCACAAATTGAACATCGAAGGGTCGAGTGTCACTGACAAGGTCAGGCAAGGTTGCGAATCATTAAAAGGACAGTATGAGGTGCGACATATGAACTGAAAATGAGGACGGGGGTCAACTAAGGCCAACTAACCTGAAGTTGGTTGCCAAGCAGAGGTACATCGGAGAGATTTCGAATGACACGATCCACGCTGAGTGTGTCTCCCATCTGAGCCATAGCTGAGCCCTCTTTTGAACGCAAAAACTTCACACGTATAACATTCCCGTACAAGCAGAGTAGATTGAATAACCTAGAAGATACAAAATACACAAAACTGGGTAAAGAATAGAGAAGAATCTAGAACAGTCAGTTATTAAGACACACCTACACAACACATCTAACAATATCACAAAAGCACCCAAGCAATCGCATATGAATCCAACAACTGGATGTATCATCTAGCTGTAACTAGATCTAACAGAAGAATGAGTTCACTAGACTTGGTTCGCGTTAGAACAATGTCGAGGAGATACGCGAGATCATGCGTGGACGAATTGATGCTAGGATTCACTTAGCATTTTCGAAGAACGGAATTGGAGTGATGTTCGATCTTGACAACAATAAGTAGAGGTATTCAGCGAAGAGGCGCCTAGATGAGTAATTAGTTCCGAGAACGGTTCCATCACATGATTTAGTCTTTGGGACCGGCTGAAATCGCGTTCATGCGCATTGTTTTCCGGACTGCCTAAGGTACTCAGTACCGTTGATTCGTGCAGCTACTCAAAAGAACCTGAGTAGTATAGAGTTAAACGCCATGACCTAAACCAAAACGGTGACGGCTGAAGCTGCCAACAGACCGACTTGTGCACTTATCTGCACACCAAGGAAGTTTTGACGGGAGACTGAACCAGAACCACACTGAATATCTCACTTATGACAGACCTGTTGATAAGTTTCACCAAGTGTGTGTGCACAAAGGGTCTTGGGGTGCGAGTGAGGGCCGGTTGAGCTGGACTGTCGAATGGCGAGTTCCTACCGTAATCAGCAGACAAAATCTGACGGCCATAGATTTTGTATTGGGTACATGAAAGATTATTCGGAAGGCGTTACATCTTGTTCTAATACTAATCCGAGCAGCACGTAGAAGTTCAGACAATTGTCCCGTCGTGTGGCTTACGTACGCTGCTCTACAGGAGCAATCGAATGAGCAGATATATGGCGCTGTAGAAGGTTCCCTGGTTTGTAGAAGGGTCACAGAAACCGAGGAGGAGGTTAAGACCGGTTTAGCTACACGGAATGTCTTAGACAAAGCTATTGTTAACTGGTATGTGAGCAGCCCCACTATTGTGTCTCATTCATAAAGCTGCATAAAGATCGCATTGTTGCTCACCATAAGTTCGCAATTGGTTCCAAACGTTTTTTTCAGGTGATTGAACAGACGTCATCTTCCTCAAAACGCCTGGGCAACAGGTGCTACGTAGCCTGTCAGGTGGGATTTTGTTACTGATCATGTGGAAATTATCCTCTGGGAGTGGAGTGACTAGACAGAGCTCTTATCATCATTCAGCTATAGCACCCTTTCGGTGCCTAGCTACCATGCCACACGAAGGAGGCACGAGGGCTGGGGTACTGCCAGGTCGCCCAAGCCTAGATAGGGGAAGTCGAGAGGTAGAGCGGGTCGGGTTCGAACCACGGACCTGCCGGTCAGTAAATTCGTGCTCTAACCACTTGGTCAATCTCGCCCCCGACTAGACAGAGCTACAATTTGTTGTAGGGACCGTGCCTAACTGATGGACAGAGTACCTCAACGGACACGGGAGTTGACAGTCCTGGTATAAAAACAAGCTCAGCTTGGAAAGGAGTTATGACAATCAGCGGTGTTAGTCTGACAAGGTTAGTTGTCACCGCTGTGTTTGACCACTTCCCTCAAAGGCGTACAGACAGTTTGATAAAGGTTAGTCTATGATGAGATGTCAGGTACGTACTTCAGTGGGGATGACAGTCCGGGATGGAACATTATACCTCTTCGCGTGGATGTATCCAATTTTGAGGTGCGGAAGGCGGCTACAAGGTTGCAAGAGAGCATCAATGATGCTGGAAGCTCACACTAACCAAATGGTCTGATGATGATCTGTTCAAAAATTCAGTAAAATGGTCAACAGCTATTCCAGTTGAGCTTCACTTCTAGGTGACGCACGATCCCGTTGTGAACCTGGAGACTAATGACCTGCGGGGGCTTTGAGCTGTCGTTCATTGGCGAACCATTTGCCTACACACTAAAATGGGTTCGTCATCCCCGTTCTGGCTTCACTTTTCGCAGTCCTGCAAGTACGCGGCAAGTGACTGTCCTGAAAAATAGTGTTTCCTCACGTTAACATAGCTACCATTTTCCGCACTAAAAAAATCACTGTACATTGGCTGACTTATCACGCCGTGGGTTAAAAACTTTTGGGACCTAACAGGACAGCATATAGGTAAGGTGATCAAGTTAACAGAAACTTGAGGGAGAGTTACGCACGCTGGTGCTACGAAAAAGGGCACGCAAGCAAGCAAGAAATGGAGGGTGTGAAAACGCTGGAAACGTGCGCAGGCTGTTCCAGTTGATTTGTTCGACTCGGTACCCGGGAGCATCATTTTAGCGAAACTATCAGCGACTACAGTCACTCTCTCTCATAGCCAGCAAAGCAAAACTTTTGGACCGGTGGTCACAGTACATCGAGCAATTCAGTTAGCCACCTGTTACCCCTAATTCGGGATCCCTGTCTTCAAAACAGAGGTGGATTGTGAACATGGAACTAACCTCGGAATGTCGACAGTCCCAGGAGAACTACAAAACAGTTTCTAGATGAGGCGTCTATTGCAGAGGGGGATTTCTCGGGTGCATTCGAATCCCGGATTGTTTTCACAGTACCTCTGAAGCAAGATGGCTCAGTGGTTAGAGCGCGAATTTACTGATCAGAAGTTCCGTGGTTCGAACCCAAACTCTGCCTCTTGACTTCCCCCGTCTAGGCTTGGGTAACCTGGCAGTATCTCTCGTGGTTCCTTCGGGTGGCATAACAGCTAGGCACCGAAAGGGTGTTGCAGCTGAACGATTTCTTTTTTTAAAGAGAGATGGCTCATTAGTTAGAGCACGAATTTACCAGTCAGAAGGCTATCCCACCTCCGACTCTCGACTTCCCCTGTCTAGGCTTGGGCGACCTGGCAGTATCGTATCTCTCGTGGTTCCTTCGGGTGGCATGGTGGCTAGAGCTGAATGATTTTTTTCCAAAGCTGAGAAGCCAGGGTGTCATTCATCTTATGGGTTTATCACAAGCTAGCGCCATAGAAATATCCTGCTGGAACACTCATGGTTTGTAGGAAGTCTGCCTCCCCGGATTAGATCCACGGGCCCTGTCGAGGTCCTACCAAGCCGATGAGTAACCTGCTGACAAAAAAAGGAGCAAAGTCAGCAGCTCCTAAATAAGAAAAGCAAGCTTCTCGGAGGACGCTCAACTCAATGTAACATGAGCCAGATTCATGAATTTGGCAAAATAAAGCTACGGGGCTCACCTAGCTTCACGATCTACTAGTGATGACCCGAGAAACGCCCTCCGTCAAAGGAGCGCAAACTGAATACAGATGAAAATTGCAACTGACCTATCGCAATTCATTTTATCCATATCCATGTTGTATACCATCACGACTGGCGTTGCTGACCGGCCGTGCAGAACAGTCTCAGCCGCCGCTGCCGCCGCGAGCGATGGGTGAACGGACAAAGCCAGCTGATCAAATAGTGTGCTGCCTGGAGCACCCAAGGACAGTGCGCCACTATGCCTGGCAAAACTGTCATGAAAGCTGTATCCACCAGCGTCTCCGTTTTGTGAACGACTCCCCCCTTCGTGTCTATCGTGAGAACGTCCGAATCGACCTGGTTGGACAATAAGAACGACAGGGAATGGCGCGCGACCTACCCAAAAGTGAGACATTCGCACGACCATCGCTGATACGAATTCGGCCGGGATCTGTGGGTAAGAGGGAATTCTCGTAGTCCCATGTTTCCTGGTCGTTTTTGAGCACAGTCAACCGTGCGGGTCGAGCAAACTCGATTTTCAGAGTACAACATCCAGAATAGATGTCCGCCCCGTTTAGATTTCTTTTGGCGTTACGGGCATCATCTGTGTTTTTAAATTCAACCATAGCCTAGATGGGAGAATAAAGTGGTTAGCGTGCAATCGATTTACCTGGACATGAGTTTTCCGAAAAATGACAATTCTCAACACACGTCCATGGCGTGAAGTTATCTGGTGAATCACATCCACAGTGATTGGATATTGTGCGTTGTAGATTGTGAACAGTAGAACTCGACTTTCCAAGGGACCATCTGAGTAGTCTCGACCAGACTCACCTCCAAGCTGGCGCTGGACAATGCGCTTGGAGGTGCTATAGTTGACCCGAACACGATGGTTGGCGATTGTCAAGGGAATTTCGGAACACCTTTATCAACAAGAGAGAATAGAGGGTTACTGTCACAGCTGAAGAGGCAAACAAACTTCGCGACATCGGGGAGGTTCATAGGATAAAAGAGGGCCAAGGATATCGTTTAGCTCCAGTAATGTTTGACCAGGCTTATCCCTCGGTTCGGGAGACTTGATATCCTTCAAGAAGGAGGGAGGCAGAGCCTTCCAAGCCCATCAGTTTCAGGACAAGCGAGGAAATCCTTGTGGGCACATAGACAGTCGGGAGCTGACTGGAGAACAAGACCTAGTACAATTGTTTAGAATTCTAGGAAGCCGCTAAGAGTGAAACAAAGATGGTACATCTCCTATGTTGAAGTTACAAGATTCCCAGCCCAAAGCTACTCACCAACCAGATTTCAGGTTCGTCTACTCAGACAAATTCCTAAAATCTAGGAAGAGTGACAGTGAGTACGGCGAATAGAAGAGGGTGAACGATTGTATGTTCTCGATGCAGTCCGTCAGGACATGAAATCAATATCGATCGTGTTGTGGTTTACAACAAGTACGATGCTCGAAAACTTGAGATCAACGGCCGGATCACCATATGGCATCCAAATGGTTCAACTAGACAATCAGTGGGTTGGTTTCTACAGAAAAAGAGAGAACGTAAACGGACAGGGACGACCGCACTACGTTCGATTTTAGTACGTCCAGTGAAACTTGGACACCGCAAGTCGCATACCACATCAGTGAGATTTCGTTATTTAACGGTCAAATAAAGTATGAGGAGAAAGTTCAATTTTGCCAGTCGAAGAGATAAAAAACAACACGATTGTCTGGTCGCTTCGCATTCTGTAACGAGATCGATCGAACCGGTAGGCAGGATACTCTCTCTCAGTAGAGGAATCGCGTGTACGATTGGACAGGCACACACCTCGGCTGTTGACGAGCTATTGCGGTGGGGATAGTGAATCGAACAAACTGAGGAAAACAAAAACTAAATCAGATGAAGTACAGTAGGTATTGATCGAAATAGTTGTGTAGACTGAAAATATATCAAATGGTGTGTCACGGACAGCTGTGCAGTACTGAAGAAGAATTGAGAAAAACAGTCAATATGGTTATAATTTACCAACTGTAATGTGCCTGAAAATAATTATTAGAAAACAACTACACTCGATTAACTATCTAGCATGATAGACCAGAAATGGGAACCGGGATATCTGTTCCAGTAGCACAATCGTCACTCTCGTGGGACACCCTTCACTAGTGTTTAAGTTGACTAGTCTGGTTACTCTGGCAGTGGCCTCAAGTGAGATGGTATCGACTGGGAGGACATCCGGCGCACAAGCAATTTCTCGTCTACCGGAGAGGAGTTATGTTTACCCTGCAGAGTTCGGGATAGCGTGATAGCGTCCAACGTATGACTGCATGCTTTCGGTGAAACCCGTTTTTCCGCCCTGTGCTTGGTAAAAGATCGAAATCCATGGTGTTCTTACTGCCCGTTTCTATTCAGACGATGGCTGAGTGTCAGAGGGAGAGTAATGATGTGGGTTAGTAAGGCTAGGATAGCACTGGGCCATCGACTCTTCCATTTTTATCTTCCTTACACATGAGAACTTTCTTTGAACCAGTGGCGGTAGACAACTTGTATATCGACTCCGGTGATGTTGTCAATGATGATTAGGACGATGGACTAAACGTGTTCCGTGAAGCGGCTAGATGACAGCAAGCACTCGTCATCATCATCACTGTCAGCTGTAATAACCGCGTACTCGTCGTACTCGTAAGACCACGCGGAAGAATTGCGGAATAACAAACAGTTGTAACGATTTGCTCAGCTTGTACTCATTTGTGTACTTTCATTATTACTAGGTATGCCAGTGCGAGATATGCGAAACGGATAAGTGGTTAGAGCGCGAATTTATTGATCGGAAGGTCCGTGGTTCGAACCCGACTCCCTCTGCCTCTTGACTTCCCCTGTATAGGCTTGGGCAATCTGGCAGTATCCCAGCCCTCGTGCAACCTTAGGGTGGCATGGTAGTTAGGCACCGAAAGGGTGCTACAGCTGAACGATTATCGAGTGCCACAACACCCAGTTGGGCTTTCGGTGGGTAGTCATTGAAATATGATTATGTTTGGGCCTGTATATAGACTGGAATTGTTCGTAAGAAAGAGTGACGACTTTGGTCCATCCTGTGGGCGCCTAACCAAAAAAACCTTAGCAGCCTGTATTCGCGCTGGACACTTTGAATAGCCGGGTCGTCAGCCACGTACAGGCACGTCAGCTGCAAGTGGTCATCAGCGCTGCCTGTCTCAAAGCGGATAAGGTACATCTACTCTGACTGTTGTACCACGAAACAAAGCGGTTTATAAAAATAATGAAACCCAGGAAAATGCAACCAGCTTAATGTATGTGAGGCCTTAGGCCTGTTTAAACGGCCCTCGGATACTGGCCAAACACAAACAAATTCTCATGCAGAAATTTTTTACACACCACCTGCACTACATCACTAATATGAATGAATGAAAACAAGGTACGAAAAACTCACCTGACAACAGCACTTTCGGCCGAGCTAATATCCGCAAATTCGATTAGGGCTTGACCGCGCTGGGGCATCATCGTCACGTCTTTAATGGGTCCATACTGCTCAAATGTACGCAGCAGAAATATCTCGAGCGTATGCTCGGGCAGTTCGCTAATATGTATTACAGGAGAGGGTTCAAGATCCCCCCAATCTTCGGGGCGATTTCGTTTACGCGTCACGGACGTCATTTCGGATCACAAGTGGTGATCTTTTTTGCGAAAATGGGTGCGCTAATAATGCTGAAATGAACAAAAAGGCTTTGTTTGCAGGTCGGACAAGTTTGTACGGCTAACTGGCATGTACACAAGAAGATAGAAAAGTGACTGAAATGAACAAAAAGGCTTTGTTTGCAGCTCGGACAAGTTTGTACGGCTAACTGTCATGTACACAAGATAGAAAAGTGATATATTTCTGCTTAGCGGAACGTTGCGCTATGGTCATTAAGCAGCAATATGTGTGTGGCAGCCAAACGATTCAAAGACATCGCCATGGGTGACACACTGCAAAGTCAACAAGTCCTGAAAAAAAGAGAAAGCTAAGGGCGAAGAGGAACCAAAGGCATTCCAAACAGTATCTCACACTTCAACCACCACTGTCTCGAGCTCACCTCAGGCAGTTTACATCACAAGACATTGGGTTGAGTCTTCATTCAAGTAAATGCAGAGAACCGAAATGTATCGATAAACACTTCGATGATGTATGCTAACTTCCTGCTTAAACTTTTCTTTAACATGATAACTCAGCTGTAACAACTTATCGGGACCCCTGCTGCTGTGCCACAAGAACGCACCAGTACTGAGATGCGGCTAGGTGCAAGCCTAGACAAGAGTAGTCCACATGCCGAGGTTAGGTTCGACCTATGAACATTCCAGTCGGTGAGTTTGCGCCCTAACCGCCGAGCTCCAGCTCGGCTGGTTTTCCCCCAATAAATGACTGGGCAAAGAAAGCGCTGCAACGTACATGGCCTAACCATCGTTGCCTATAGGGTTGACCTGGCAAATGGTTTATTGGGAAAACGGACTAGCCCACGATGAACGAGATGATCATGGTTAATGATTTGCGTTGATCGGGACATGTACTCCGCATTCCCAGGAAATTGTGAAAAAACTACATGGGGTGAAAGCATGGTCCAGTCTTTGCAAACAGTTGTGTGATCGATTTGGTCGCACGAATGTTCAGCAGCAGGTAGATGACAGGTAGCATGACTCTGAATCCAGTACTGTCGAGGAAATGGTGGTAGGCACGGCAGTAAAGGACGTGGACACAAGCATCATATCCCGTGTCAAAACTTAACCAGCCACCGAATCGCTCGTCACATAGACTGAGACGCCCCATTTCCGAACTGGAATATCCTGCGATTAGAACTAGATCTGGGACCTTCATGGTTGATAGGAGTGCCACTACCTCAGAATCAGAGCTACATTCGATTGGTAATGAACAGGAACTATGAAAAAAGAATAGCCAGTATTCTGACCGGTGTGTCTTTACGAAAGACAGAGAGATGGAGTGTTTACACGTATCCAATCAACCAAGGAAGCCTCAGTTCGGGAGCTGAGGGCTATATCAACACCGGAAAACACCAACTTAGCAGTCTAGACAACCAGGTGACGTAGGCTCAATTACTGCGCTTGGATCTTGTATTTGGACTTCAGAAACCAAGCGAAAGTCTGTGCACGGAGTATCGAGAGTGGATGTAAGAGCATCTTGTTAATCAGGTTGCTTAAGGATTTGAACATTTAAGGTTGCAATGAAAACGGGGATCTGTTCAAGTGAATCCAGAGTGGCATGTGTGAGCGGTGGTCACTTCCGTGACATGCATACAGCTGGAATCTGGAATCACCACAAGGGATCGGAGGTAGGAGAATAATGAATAAGTGGATAGTACCATAGTTAGGCTTATAAGCGAATAAGGCGACCGGGTTGATGTCACCAAACGAAGGCCCGTTTGGCATGACGGTATGCTGAATTGCGTTATTCATGGTTGCATGCGGGCTGAGATGATGCCGGGGCACCCGAACCTGGATAGGACGAAGTCCTTGACTCAAAAGCCGGAGAGTCAGGCGACTGTGCTTGTCAGGCCTATATTCGGTGACCAACCTGTGGATGTCGCATGGGTATGTTCGACTATAGACCTAAAGTCGCACTACGGTAAGTTCCAGTCTGTTGATGAGGAAAAGTTGACGTCGGTCATATTTCCTGTAGGATTTCATTTCGACATCGCACGAAATGGATAAGCACTTACGATTTTTGCACACGTACTGCTCATTGGAGGAAATGAACTTGAGATGACTCAGTAGTTAGAGCGCGAATTTACTAACCGGAAGGTCCGTGGTTCGAATCCCACCTCTGCTTCTCAACTTCCCCTGTCTAGGCTTGGGCAGCCTGGCAGTATTAAAGCCCTCGTGCTTTCTTCGGGTGGCACAGCAGCTAGGCACCGTAAGGGTGCTACAGGTGTTATTTTATTTTACTCTGTTGAGAGCAAACAGGACAGATGTATACTGGTCCCTTAAGTGATCGATGAACGTCGATTCCAGTTGTAGTTATCCAGTTACGGATGAAAGCTACAGCAACGAAGCACCTGTATTTGGCACTGATGTTATGCTGTCGATGAGGCCGATGACGAAGCATATAAGTGTTCGGTGTTGATCAACTGATAGCTCCCACGACAATGCTCTTTGTGTGGATTATTCTACACTCTGGGATGGGTTTGGCCTTCATGGACCAACCCAAGTACAAAATGCCTTGCAGTCTATCTTACCGACCGAAAAGTAATAATAATAATCATTCAGCTGTAAAATCCTTTCGGTGCCTAGCTGCCATGCCACTCGAAGGAGGCACGAGGGCTGGGACACTGCCAGGTAGCCCAAGCCTAGATAGGGGAAGTTGAGAAGCAGAAGTCGGGTATGAACCACGGACCTTCCGGTTAGTAAATTCGCGCTCTAACCACTCGAGCCGTCTCGCCCCACCGACTGGACAGTCGGCCATACTGGACACCCCTGAGGAATTACGAGGACCTCCTTGAATCTCCCTTAGTCAGCTTAATCTGAGGTCCAAAGCTAAGAGCGGCACAACACTTCATTTTTCAAATAAACTGTTGATAACTGAACATAAGAATAAATCCCGTCAGGTAAACTTGGGAGGACGCTTCAAATCCGCCTACCAAAATCTTTTGGCGTCCAAGCTGCATAAAATGACTTGGAAAAGGTGAGCATCTAGCAGCAAAGTTGCGACCACCTGTAAGTTAAATCCTTGGTTGTGTTAGCTCGAAATAGGCATAGTTCGGGATGTAGTTCGATGCCTTCCCCGAAAAACCCAATAGTTTAATGTCCGAAGCCTGTATCCTCCTTCGGTAGTCCGATGATTTGCATATCTTCCGTGACGGGTGTAAACAAATTACATGTTGGGGGGACACATTAAAGCATCAATGAACGTTTGTCGAGCGGCACCTCAGCAGCTTTCGACTCTCGAAGTTGGACTTCCTACGCTAGCCAAGGTTCCCTCTTCCACAGTGGTCATGCGCCAAAAAGAAATCGGTTAACCAAAACCCCCAACAACAAACCGGCCCACCGAACAGATAGCTTATTTATGAGTATTTCAGACCCGGTTTAATTAGAAAACTCGAGTGTGAAGTGCTCTGAGGAGCGTTGAAGCTTGCGATAGTTTGATTGCAATTGGGTTTTGGGGGAACTATGCCAATGGAATAATGGCAGCGTGAAATATTCACTGCATCGGCTGCTTTGGTGAAGCGGCTGCCTGTGGTGGGATCACATCCATGATTCACATCCCGGTAACTGTTTGGGACGAGACATCAATGGACAAACATATTCCCAGACATGGTCCAGTCATAATGGGGCGAATGCATCCAAGCTGTCCCTCAGTGCATAGCCTCTGCTCCTGATTTCCCCAGTGAATAGTCGACTGACATTCCTGTATTGACGCATCAATCATATAAGCTAGCACAACCGATCCGTAGCTCTTTGGCCCCATCTCCCCAAGCCACTGAAGTAAGAGCCTGTTGTTGTATACATGCTGTTCTTCAAAACGTTTCATCGTTCATTGCTAAGTCACTTTTTCTCGTTTCAGCTCGAAGTGACAAAGTTTTGGATGAGTAAAGCCTGGCTCCTGGGTCCTCACTTGCTCCGCTCTTATCTTGATCGTCACCGCACTCCGTCCATCATCGAACACAACACTTCTACTGCCCCCAAGGGTACAGACATCATACTCCGAAAAGATGGTGCAAGAGCCAATCTAATCGCCATTCAATACACCCCAGTCTGAGATGTAAAAGGTGAAGCGAGGGGATACCTGACCGAATTGATTTAAAAGTCCCTGCGTTTGTTCAGGGCATCTTTGATGACCTTCGTTAACTGGATCAAAATTAATATTCAGGCTCGGAACGAATGCATACGTCGACTCTGGAGATGCTAAACCTCCTCACAGGTGGAGGAATCAACGGACACACCGAGAGAAGAACTTGGGTATCATAGAGTTTCTGAAATACAGGAATGTCCCAGACACCTTGAAAACGGTAGCCACTGCCAGCAGTATAGTTTGCTCAAAAGAAACTTCAGTCATTCGAATGACTCATGATATCTTGAAACTTCTGTTTAGCTAGCCCCCTGCTCCACATGATCCTTGATTGCTGACAGCTTTCCTATGAGCGAAATTCGAATAATACATTTCAAAAAGGGTACTCGCAGTGAATGTAGCAACCACATGGGTGTTAGTTTGACGCCTGTTGTGACAAGGCTTTTGGCGTCATTGATTCTTCGTCGTCTTATGGCGGCACGCGAAGCCTTGACTCCTGAGAATCAAGCGGGATTTCGACCGGGTAGGGCTGCGTTGACCACATTTTTACAATCCGTCAGGTGTTAGAGCAACGCCACATGTACAGACGACCCACAATCCTGGTATTCCTCAACGTCAAGAGTGCGTTCGATTCTGTTGATCGATCAGTTCTGTTAACTACACTTGTTAAACAGGGTATGCTCCAGAAGTTTGTAAACATAATCCGATCCCCATATTCACATACTTCTGGGCGGGTGAGGGTGTACTCTCCAAAAGCCTCCCTACAAAATGTGGTATCAGACAAGGATGTCCACTCTCCCCAT